TGACGACAGGTCAGGTCCATATGAACAGGATCCTTCTTCCATCCTTTTCTCGGACTGGGATCTGTTCATATACGTTCTTGGCAGATTATCCAGAAGTGGTTTGCCATTGCCTTCTTCTGTGTGTGAATGGAGTAATTGTTGGGATGCCACGGAGGAAAACTCCGTGTTGCCTAGACCACGGCCTTGCCCAACACAAGTTATAAATTCGGGCACCGCCGGGAATCGAACCCGAGACCCCCACGATTACAAGGCCAGCGTTCTAACCGCTAGACCAGCGGGTATCGTAGGAAAATGTAACTTTGAAGAAATGATTGAATAGAACTCACAGCTTGCTTACAGTTCAAATCGCCCTGATGATAGAAGCAGTAAACCACTCCGAAACGTCGGTCGTTCCGTGGGACCACACCTCGCAGCGGACATCTTCAACAGGACAGTTTATTCATCGTGTTCCACAGCGCGTCTCGATGTGACTTCCACGCGTCATTAGCGATTTCATTTGCGTATTAATCGTTGTCACGTGTCCTGTGACGTATTGCAAAAATCTGCTAAGCGACGTAATTACCAGCTCAGCGGAATGGATTAGCAACCGGCGACCTCAAGCAAGCTGACACTCACGGCCGCTGAGATCTCAGGCCCTCTCAAATCTGTGGATAATCTGACCTTGAAACACTGATTTAAGTTTTCTGTTATTTATGTCATGACACCGGGAGTCGATGACGTGTACGCAAAGTTTTTTGACGTAAATACGTCTATATTTTAGGGTCAGTGTCATTCGGAAAAAAGTGAAACGAAAAAGTGTAACCTGGTTACCTAGGAAACGTCATCTGTTTACTCGGCATTGTTGTTACCTATAAAACATTACATTACATTACATTCAGCTACCACAGACCCATCTTAAGCGTAACTAATTCAAGTTAAATAAGCAATGTCTTAATCAAACTTTACTCAATTGTAAAGCATGTATAAAGGAAATATTTAGAATAAAGCCAACATATAAACTTCCTTTCCGTATAGACGTATTTACGTCAGATTCTCCGGAACCGTGGTTCCACTGACAACTATTTCAAACCCTGACTTCAAAGGTTCAATTTCGACCGGAGGGCGAAGAATGAAAAATCAGCAGTCTCCCCCAAATTGGGCCCTCAAAACACGTACGTTTTATTAAGACAGACTTTCTCTAAAGTAGGATGCACCAATATGGCGACCGAGCGTAATATTTTCCTTCTTATTACGACCGGCCCACTAAAATAAATTTGTTCGCTTGCCTGGCAAACGTGTAACGCTGTTACGAGTCATGGCGGAAGGCGTCCAGTTCGAATCTTGGTTTCCGTCAGAGAATTCCCAAGTCGGTGTCGGTGTTGATAAAATTCGTTGTCTCTCGCCACACATAACGACAATTTCGTCTTCTGTTAGCTACGTGATGATATAAATTGATTTACGACTATTTTATTGGCCAAAATTCATGTTAACAGAGAATGTGGAGCCCTACTGGTAAGTATTAATGACTCGAGATGTCGATAATAAAAACAATAACTGATAATAGTGTCATAAATCATCGAGTCCCAACGAGAGCGATTTCAGCAAAGTAGCAGAGTCGACCTTGTGAAGCTGATAGTCGCCCAGCTGATCATGAAATGTGTCACTTTATGGAAACAGAAAGGTTCATCACCGTGTTCACAAAAGTTCACCACTGGACCTTGTCCTGCGCCAGTTAAATCCAGTCAACACTTTTCTATTTAAGATCCACTTTAGTATTATCATTCCATGTACGCCCAAATATCTCCCAAGTTGTGTCTTCCTTTCAGGATTTCAGGCCAGAAATTTGTTAAAAATTTCCTACGATTTTACGTGTGAATTAATTGATGATATTAGTTTAAAGTTGTCCACGATCGATTCGTCTGACCATCTCCAGTCACCTCCTGATGAACACCGACAACAGCCTTACGAGTGACTACTCAGTAGCTACCTGTGATGCAGAATCTTGTCGGGGCCTGATCAAGCAGAATATTATCAGCAAGGATTAGCTTATTCTGGGGGCACTTTGAGATTACCCGATATAGACGTAGCCCAATGGTAATTAATTATCATTATCCGATTAAGTATGGAACGTGTTTACTTCTTCAGAGCTTTTGTTACTACTGTTTACGTGTTTCTGTGGTTGCCTGGCTCCCAACTGAGACGCATCATTCGGATTTAATTCCGAAGAGAAATGTTTCTGAAAATAAAAAGTGATTCACTGCGAAAAAACATCAAACTGAATGACGTGAACAATGTTCAGTTGCTGATTGCATTGCCGTCTTTAGATACGGTAGCTAAACAGAGCAAACACTTGCGATATGTTTACACGTCATGTGGACCAGAGAGCAGTAAACAGGACTGGAAAGACAGAATATCGCAGTTTCCACTGGCGGTCTTTGCACATTTTAAATTCTGAATGCCACCAAATGTTGTTCGGAGACATGAAGGCGTTAACGTCTTACCCTTCGAAGCCGAAGCTCGTCTAAATAGCATTTAAGAATCCAGTCCGTACCGCGAAGAAAACACAACGCCTCACCGTTACAAAGATCAACTGGTTAACGCTGTTTAAGGAAATAATAGATTTTTATTCTGATAATTAATTAACCCTTCGAAGCCGAAGCTCGTCTAAATAGCATTTAAGAATCCAGTCCGTACCGCGAAGTAAACACAACGCCTCACCATTACAAAGATCAACTGGTTAACGCTGTTTAAGGAAATAATCGCTGTTTGCACTGAGAACCATTCGACATCTTGTGGCTATGATGCAGAGTTAATTAATATTAAAGCAGGTGGTACGTATAGTTACCACTTGACTTTAAAGGGTTCATTCATACACACGAAGGGCGCATTGCAGTTCAATTCTGAACTTAACCAAACTATCGCTTCGCACTATCGACCTATCGCTCTCTTTCGACTCGAAAGACTATTACCGGAGCATCTTGCTAGTAAGCTTAATCCTGTCTTCACAACCAATCTGGTTGAGATAAAAGTATTTGGCTGGCCAAATCACCTGCGATACTAAATGCATTGCATGTGGCCTTCCTCAAAGACACTTGTACCTTAATCAGGTTCCTTGACAATGCTCAATCAAGAGCCAGGCTACTTAGCATCTCATGAATGAGACGATTATTATGTGTACTATTGTAGAATAATACGTCTATGTTGACGGGAAGGGACATTTCTTGTGTTAATACTAACGCAATATAGTGCTGTATCATTTTTTAAAATCGCACTTAAAGAATTTCTTTGCAAACTAAATCAAATGTGAACACGTTTTCAAGTCGACAGACTCCGCCAGACACCTCCATAGGCGCCACCATCGCATCGTTTAAATATTTCGCTGCCATAGGCACATTTCAATTCGGTTTCCCAGAATGATCCTGGATTGTCTGACACAAACCACGAAAATGCTCAGGAGAAGTTTCCAGGATTCGAACCGCGTACCTTCAGAACGTAAATGCGTTTCTCTTACTTGTTGGCTTTGGCGAGGAGCTTTGCAATGGCGGAGTAATTGTTGACTGACGGAATTCTCAGCATCTGAACGCAAAGTTCGGGCTCCCATCGACTCAGGTCAAGTCCTTCGTGGAGGTCCTTCAGCAACTGCCCACTCGCGGTTCGAACCATCGGACTTCGACTTTTCTTTGCCTTCGTCGCGGCTCGAATCCACCTTCCACGTGACCCCATCAAGTCCCCTGGAAACACGAGACATGATTAAGTACTGTTAAGACAAACGCTACAATAATTTAATTTATTATATTTAAAATTACGTGGTATGCGATCCACTGTGGATTCCGTTTAACGCGGGTCTGAACACCAATCAGATTTTACGACATCCCGTCCAAATTAATTTATTGTTATACGGATCTTAGGTGTGAAATCTGACATTCGAACGTCCATGACGGTCTTGTGGGTTGTAACGTCGTCTGCAGATGCAAGTAGACACCGACGTTTCGGAGGAACATACCCTCTCCACACGGCGTTGCAACTCAGAAAGCAAATATCCACAATTGAATGTAGTTTGAAAGAATTTCGTTTTATTTTTAAAAAAAACCCCGAAGGAAAGAGTCTATTTCTTACGCAAAGGCGCAGAAAGGGGGCAAAATTAATATTAAAAAAAAAAGAAGTTATTGTGAAGATTCTCTTGAACACAGTTTGAACCTTCGAGGAGTTTCGTGAACGATCAGCACTGCCATCTAGAAGACAGTGTAAGACATATTCGTAGTAGTTTACGTGTATCCCGAAAGATAGCAGCATCAACTGCAGAGCTTCCGAGACATGCATCTGGTGGCGCCACCTGCGCAAGGATTTGTAACACTTCCTGTTAGCTCACCATTTACACGCCAAAAAAAAAAGAAAGAAGACCGCCTCTTTTCGGCTGTCCGCTACTGCTTATTTAAATCATTCGGAGCTGCTCACCAAACCTGGAGAATCTGTGATCGTGATGAATAAATAAAAGAGGACGAGACAGTCGGTCATGTAGCGAGGATGAAAAGTGCGTACAAAATTTTGGATACAAGGCCTGATGGTAAGAGACCATTCGAGAGACCAAGGGTAGTATTAAAATGTATCGCGTATAAAGACGACAGGTGTTTACGTGAAGCAACGCGAAAGTCTCGCAGCGTCATTAAACTTGTTTACGAGAAAATAACATAACTTCACATGGAGGCCGATTAATTGTAACCCTTTGAAGCCGAAGCTCGTCTAAATAGCATTTAAGAATTCAGTCCGTACCGCGAAGAAAACACAACGCCTCACCATTACATAGATCAAGTGGTTAACGCTGTTTAAGGAAATAATAGATTTTTATTCTGATAATTAATTAACCCTTCGAAGCCGAAGCTCGTCTAAA